ACTATTACATAATTAAAATGTTTCGACTATTTTAAATGAAAACTGCTTAAAAGGATAAAAAATAAACAAGTAAACTCTATAATTAAAACAGATTCCGATAATACGTTTGCAAATAAACGGCTAGTTATCGCCGGCAAGAATCATGATTTCCTGTCACTTCTCCGCATTCAAAAGGGGCTTTTGCACCGTCCTGTTGCTTCTGTTAGTCTAGAGGACCATTTAAGCAAGCCATGACTCCATAATACACTGACCCGTGCAGCGCCTGGGCTAGGCGTAAAACAGCACCACGTTTCTGGTGGAACGAAAACATGTTCAAACGTCACCGAATATACCTCGATCCGTACGTATCCATCATAGAAATAAAAATTAATCGTTGTATTATGAGTTTACTAGCGAACTGTTAGTATTTCATACTGTCAGTAAGAATAACAACAACCTCAAATCCTCTTTTAATTCATGTCTAGTTTCTAAATCGTGCCGTCTCACACCTTCAGTCAAACCCTTCCTCTACATATACTAGGATAGGGATTGAGTTTTTCGCTGTTTGTTTTGTATTTGTTCGTTTCGTATGCCTGATGGTTCACTTAAGTAAATTTGACTGAAATAACAAATACAACCCTTCAGTAGTTCCAAGCATCCAAAACTAGCAGTATTCTAGTAAACCCATAAGATTGGGTTTTATTTTTCAGTTCCAAACATCTTTGCTACCATTCACTCGCTACTTGCAACATTTCTGTACGTTACTGTCTTAAATTTCTGATGCAGCATCATTTGTCACCAGTCCTTATGACGTTTGCTGTAATCATTGCTGCAGCCAAAAAGTCAAAATAAACAAAAAGAACTTCCGTGCTTAAATCCACTGGGTGGTTGGAAAGTTGGATAATTTGAATGCCGATGGTAGGTACTGAAAATTAACTTTCGATACATGTCATGAGAAGTAGTTACTGCTTGAAAGACTCGTTCATGCACACCAAATGTACATCTACTTGCACAACACAGGCGAGCTTAGGAGACATTCATACTTATGGCAATATTTTAAGCGAGCTCATTTGCAATTTAATCAGATACTGACAAACTTCCTAGCGTTACGCAGATTCCAATATCGAACCAACCCCTTCATTAATTTCAAATATCGACTTTAACGGCGGTAGTGGAGAGACTTTTATAGTTTCATGAAAGCAAAAATCGACAAATAAAGCAAAACAATTTATACACATTATTTAACAGATCGCGTCAAAATATACCTATATATAAATAATGCTTATCAATTGTATTATGACTCGAAGTGCAGTTCTCGTAGAAGCCATTGTTAAATATTGGCTTCAGTGCCTGTAACGATAAAGCTGTTTCGCGATGCTACCTTATAAGGCCATGGCGCTGGAAGATTCGGATCCCGGACGTACACCTCCTTGCAGGACACCGTTCGCAAACTGACCATCGAAGATATACACCCTCGCAGTTTCCCGAAAGAGCCGCCAGTCCATACGAAGCCCTGTCGAATAATGGCACATAACACCATCG